AAGTAGGATTTCCCTCAAATTTTTATGAAGCTCTCTGATATATAGTCATAAGTATTGGCCATTTTTTAATTAGGTGCTATGAATCTATAATAATCTTAAAACCTAATGGTTATTTTATTACATGACATAACACATATAGTAAGTCATAATCTGAGACAAATAATCTTGTAGGCTAGTGGTAAAAATGAGTAATAAATCTATGTATCTGTATGTTTAAAAGCCTAGATTGATATTTATAAACCAGAAGAATACGGGTGGTTAAAACACAGGGTGGTTAGCTATTGTAGGGTGGCAAAGAAAATGTAAAATCTTTCACTTTGTTAAGAGAGAAAGAAAAGGAATTATATTGAGAAAGAATAGGTTATAGCTGTGCAGCACTAAATAAAAAATATAAAGCACCTTGTTATCTCTTTTGATAGAAAACAAAAGAAAGACAAGGGGTTAATGATTGATTTTGCTTTGGGAAACTTAGATACATAACGTTCTGTTGTTGTCACTAGCGCCAGCTGCTGGCTGTACGCAAATCTTCCTACAATAAAGTGTTTACATCTTGACCTTTACTTCCTGGGAATGCATGTTCAACCCACGATGCCTGTCCTGAAACGAATATGTTCATGTTCAAAATGTTCTCTCTGAAGGGACCAAGTCCCTGAAACTACAGACTCTTACATTCGTATGGAGGTTAAGCGCTATCTTTACTCGTGACTTAAATTGACCTTCTGGGGTGACAGTGGCAAACAAATCTATGATCGCAGCAGGGAAAATCCCCAGTGCGTACCATACTTGTCATTTCTCTGCTTATTCTCTAGTCCGTGCCCTTCCCCCCACTTCGTCAGCCCCACTTTATAGCTGACTGTGCTTGCAAACAACATTTTCCTGGCCCCCTTGCCAACTGGAAATCACTAGCAGGGCAGTCAGGAGTTGACGGCTCCACAAGAGTTTCTCCTTGTCCTCTTAGGATAGCATTTCTATAAGTGGCTGTTTCCTCTACCGACTAGCTCCTACTTTTGAGTCTCAATTTTGCTTGCAACCTCTAGCCTGGTTCCGTGGTGCTGGTAGTACCTGGAGTCCCATCATTTCTATAGGTGGTTATACCTTCTTAAAGTTGTCTATCTTTACATTGCTTCATCTTCCCATGTTGAGTTTTTCAGCTATTTCAAATCCTCTTAGTTACCTTTCTATATCATGTTCCTTGAGACTTGAGTGTTGTTATGCTGAATGAACCCGAATTGTTGCTTACCTCCACTAATATCTGTGTTGTTGCTGTTGTTGGCTGCCATTGTGTCAGCCCTTGACTTGTGGAAATCTATGCACAGGGGAACAAAACTCTCTTGGTCCTGTACCTTACCAGACCATTGTGATACATATGACATTTTCAGCCACAAGACAATGGATTTAAACATGAATAATTACATTTAGTCACAAAATAAATGCACAATAATTATTTGTTGAGTAAATGAATGCATCTGTGGAAGCTTGAAAACTGGGGAAAATATTTTCATAATTCAATGTTAAATTTAGAAAATTCTGTAAAATTTTCATTTAATTATATACTGACAATAATCCATGAGTGGTGCAAATGACTAACATACTTGGTTGCTGACTAAAAGGTGAAGGTGTCCTTGGAAGATAAAGCCAGGCTATATCTTCTTCCAAACCCTATGGGGCATAATCCAACTACCCCTACATGACCCAGCAGCCAACATACCACTAATAGCTGTACCACGATGCTGAACAAACAGCCGTCAACCACATTAAACTAAAAAACAAAATGTAAACAAAAATCCAAACAAACAACCCCAAATCACTCAAATCCAAGGAAGTGCTCTGACAAAAGAGGCCCTGGGACTACCAGAAACAGAGCTCAGAAGGATTATGTCTAGGTCTCTTTCAGAGGTGCAGGGAATAGTCATGAGAACAATGGAAGGAAGTTGAAAATAATATCCTTAAATGAAAAGGAACCCCAGATTACAAACAATGTGATAAATGAATTAGGCAACATAATACAACTTGAGGAATAGAATAGAATTAAAAGAAAATCAAACGAGTGAGCTTGAAGATAATCACTCTATAACAGATGAGGGAAAGAAATCAACTGAAAAGCAAAGGAATATGAAGAAAGCCTGAGAATGATGTGAGACACTATCAAGAGAAAAAAAAAACATATCTCTTTGAGATCTCATACCAAGAAGAAACCAACAAAATCTTCAGAGAACATTTTACAAGAAATCATGGAAGAAAATTTCCTGAACGCCACAGAGGAGAAAACTAATTAGTCAAGAAGCTGAGAGACCTGAAATAGAATAGCCACCAAATGAAACCCAGCATGACACGTTAAAGTAAAATTCTCCAACTTCAAGGAAAATGAGAGCAGATAGAGTAAAAAGAACAGTCACTTACAAAGGAAACCCAATGAGGACAAGCTCACCTTCTATGCAAGCAAGAAGACAGTGGAGTGACAAATATAAAATTCGACGGAACAAAACTCTGCCAACTAAGAATCCTATACCCATCAAAACTTTCCTTCAACTATGAGGGATATTCACAGAAAAGGAGAAAAACCAGAGGAATTTATCAAATAAAAAATAAATAAAAAGACTAACATTAAAACATAATAACACTATCACTATGGGCAGAAACTCTATAACAGCAACAAAAATGAGAGCAGCATACAGCAATACCCAGAAACCAGTACCATTCAAACAGCAGTCAAAATAACAGAAACAGACACCAATCAAACCACACCAAAAGAGAAAGTAAGCCAACCACAAATGTAGCAAAATGACAGCAACATATCCTCATATAGCAATAATAAGCCTGAATGTCAATAGATTAAATGAGCTAAACAAAAGACAGAGAATAGCTTACTGGATTAGAAAACAAGACCCATCTATATGCTGCCTACAAGAGACACACTTTTAACTGAAAGATAAAAATAGAATAAAAATTAAAGGATGGTGAAAAATCTACCCAGCCAATGGCAGCCATAAAATGGCAGGAATAACAATATTTATCTCTGATAAAATATATTTCAAGGCAAAAAAATGTAAGTGGAGACAAGAATGGACACTACATAACGATCAAAGGAACAACACACCAAGAATATATAACAATAAATATATGTGCACCCAATAAAAGACCTCAAAAGCATCAATCAGCTGCTCACAGAGTTGAAAAGGGAAATGTACAGCTTGACAATAATCACAGGAGACATCAGCACACCACTCTCAAGGAAAGATATATCAACAGGAGAACATTCAATAGGGAAACAGAAGAGCTAAATAAAACAATTATCCAGTTTGACCTCCTAGACAAATACAGAATGCCCCACCTAGCAATAGTACAATGTACTTCTCTTCTAGTGTAAAGGGTTCATAGGTTACAAGAGATCCCATGTTAGGCCACAAAGCAAGCTTCAACAATTTCAAAAAACACTGAGATCCTACAATTCATGTTCTCAAATCATAACACTATAAAATTGAAAATCAATAATGAAAACAACAGGAATGTAAAGACATACATGGGCAACTGAATGACATAGTACTTAAAATGACTGGCTAGTAGATCAACTAAGGGAAGAGATTAAGCTATTCCATGTAACAAATGAGAGTGATAACACAGCATACCAAAATCTATGAAATACAGCAAAAGCAGCTATCAGAGGGCAATTTATAGCAATCAATACACATGGGAATAAAAGGAGAAACCCCCAAATTAACCTTAATACAGCAATCCAACAACTAAAACAAGGGCAACAGTATAAACCCTCCATTAACAGAAGAAAAGAAACCATAATGATTCAAGGAGAAAAAAACAAACTGGAAACCATAAAAAGAATGAAAAAAATCAAGTCAAGAAGTTGGTTCTTTGAAAAGACTACCAAAATTGAGAAACTGTTAGCAAAAGTAACATAGGAAAAGAAAGAGGCAAATATCTAGAATTAGAGATGAAAAGGGAGATATCACAATGGATCCAAATGAAATAAAAGGAATAAAAATATGTAACTGTAACAGACTATATTCCAAGTTTGGTAACCTAGCAGAATGGACAAATGCCAAGAATTACACCATCTACCTAAATTAAGACAGATCGATGTAGAAAACTTGACCCAAAGCAAAATAATAAAGTCAGCAAGAAAGATCCAACCAAGAAAAGCCCAGCACTAGGGTGGCTTCACAGGGGGATTCTAACAAGTATTCAGTGAAGACTGGACACTGTCTATGCAACCCATTCCAGAAGGTAGAAATGACAGCAAACTTCCCCAGTCATTCTACGAGGTGAACATAGCCCCACTGAAATGAGGCAAAGACCCCACAGTGACAGAAAGCTACAGGCTAATGTTCCTCATGAATATATGTACAAAAATTCTCAACAAAATGCTGGCCAATTTAATCCAAAAACATATCAAAAAAGAATTGATTCATCATCACCCACATCAGCCTTAAGTCCAATAGAATGAAGCAATACCCGGTTCTTCACCATCCTCACAGTCGTTCACATGCTTGAGACCACTGTTGCAGCCACTGTGTCAATCTTATCTTGAGCACATTCCTCTTCTTTGCAACTAATCTATGTAGTGTAGTGGGTTATTTATTTATTTTTCTTAAAATATTTGACAGTGGAAAAAAAACATCACAGATAGTTTTTACTCTGTGTTACTAAAGACTTTGAGCAGTCACAAAACAAACAAACAAAAATAGCAACCACCAAAAAAAAAAACCAAAATGAAAATTAAAAACAAGTAAGCAAAACCACTTGTGGCTATACAAATCAGTTTATTGTCAACAACTAGACATAGAACACTAAGCAATTTACAGAAATTAGAAAAAAGTTTTATTGAAAAAGGCAACTTTATACAATGAAGAAATTTAAAAATAATTACAATTGTATATTTTGTTATTAGTACATTTTAATATAACATTTTAGGAGGACTAAGTATATTTTGTCCTTTATTGCTAAATGTTTCATTCCTGAGATTTCGGTGTCAAAGTTTTATAATTCTTTTGTTTGGTGGGATACTGAACTGTGAAATAGCATTCTCAGCCAGTTACTTGGGGTAATTTTTCTATACATCATATTTTTCATTTGGAAAATATTCACATTGTAATTTATTCATTAGTTTACAAGTGGACCAAATATCACAGCACATTTCAAGGATAGAGGTGTTCAGCTAATAGATGGCATAATGGTAAAAATGATTCCTTCTAAACATTTGCCATGTTAGGTAGCTTCCTTCTAAAGCACAAACATAGAGACAAAACGAATCTTTTTACATCAGATTTGATTTAAAGAGCAGTTCAAGTAGCTATTTCAAAATGATGTCTGAAAATAATATTTATGGATCACAGATTTAAATACATTTTCTGAAAGTCAGAATATTACTTGAATGTTCTTCAGAGTTTATAGATCACAGCCTAGCTTTATTCCACATTGTATTTTTGATAAATCATATTTTTGCCTCTATGCTTAATATTAACATGCTAATAAGTTCATGAAGGTCATTTTTCTAGTTCTCATCTTAAAGAAAAGCTTCAAATGATGATATTTCACTTAAAGACCTATATTCAAATAAAATCTGACCTGAATATAAGTTATTTGTTTGTTTTCAGATATATATGTGATACAGTATATAAAAGATGTTCACTGAGCTTTTCCATGAAATGGAGTTGTATCATAGTCTTGAAAATGAATTCCTTTAGACACTGTGATCTTCATAATGGCACCATGGAAAGCATCATCTTCGATGAGGGTTATTAACCCATTAGCAATGATTGATGGGCTAAAAATAAAGAAAATAATGGTTTTCTGAAGCTTAAGGAATGAGGCAAGCATATTTTTATTTCATTTGGTTTTGTGAAGAATCAACTACCATTGACATGTAATAGAAAATAGAGAATCATATACCATCAATCTATTGATACCTCTGATTTTTATTCAGTTGTGCATTAACGAAATATGTGATACTATTAGTGGTAGATACCATACCTAATCTGCCATATGGCAGAAATGATATTTAATCATTATTTAGGTGGGAAAATGATGATTTTTATCTTGTTGTTCGATCTTAAATTTACTGGATAGAAATGTTGGAGTAGAGATTATGAATTATCGCTAATATGGATTGTTGCTGCTTAAAGTCCTTGAGTGGATTCCTACTTAGGATACCATGTGGCAGAGTTGAGCTGCCTCTTAGTTTTTTTCAGGTCTCTGTGAGTTGGGATTGACTCAATGGCAGTGAGCTTGGTCTTGGTCTTATAAGATTAGATGGTTAGATCTTTTTCCTGCAGAACTTCTGGGTAGTTCAAGCTACCAATCTTTTGATTAGCAACAAGATGCTTAATTGTACCACCGCCATTGCTTGTTAAAACTTAGTAATCATCCATTATTTAGCAAAAACCAAAACAAAGCAAACAAATTGACTGCCACCGGGTTGATTCCAACTCACATTGACTATGTACCATTGCCTCCAAAGGTGTCCCTTTTGTTTGTTCTAATCTGATTATGGCTGAAAAAGTTAATGAGGCATTGTCTATATTTCCAAGCAAAATCCATCGGGTCCACACCTATTCAAAGACACTCTGTTGATGCTGTCGGTTAGTCATTGGGTTGCCAAGAGCAAGGGCAGCAGTTCAAACCCACCAGTCTCTCTTCAAGGAGATGATATGGTTGTCTGCTCCTTTAAAGATTTACAATCTCACAAAGCATATATCTGGTTTCTATGCATCATAATCAACTACAAGCAACCTTCTAACAGGTGTCAGCTAAATCCACACCATAAGAAGCTCATGACAAAAACCTGTTTGATACAAGGATTGCAAAAAGTAAAACCCAAATTCAGAAGAGGGAATTGTATCAGAATTTAAATTCCGAACACCTGGTTTATAAAGGCTGTGGATGACAGTGAAAATTCAAAATCCATTTCTAGGGTACCCAGGGGGGTTAAACCTTCAGAGAACCCCCTCCAACCACATATAAGCAATGTGGATAGGCTTGCTGTCAGGTACAGAGCTTTGTGAAGAGTGTTACTGAAGATGCATGTAGTTAAGTGAAAGTGTAACACCTTATCATTTGATCTTCCTTTTCACCCATTTTAAATTTGTTACAGTTTTTTGCTTTCTTTTCAATTGAGGTTTTTCTATTTTATTTTGTCATGTTGGGTGTTTTTGCTTTATGTTTTGTTGGTATGTTTTTCTGTATATGCAATCTAATATTGATAATCTATAGACACGGCAACTTGATTAATTGTTTCCCAGGGGCATGGACAGGGTGGTTGCGGGAAATGGGGAAGCTAACAGCAAGGAGCACAAGAAATGCTCTAAAATTGATTGTGGTAATGATTGCACAACTTTTAAAAGTATTTTTGAACTATAGAATTGTATGGTATAGGAATTATATGTCAATAAAACTGTTTCTAAAAAAGAATTGACACGAGGCAGTACATTTAAAAAAAACGCACATTCTGTTTAGAATACCAGAAGTGTTTTTCCTTTCAGAGTTTTAAACCAAAGCACTAAATCTCAAATTTAAAAGCTCAGTTTTCATTTCTTATTACTTATGTCTAGATTATCACTTTATTCTACCACATGGAGGAAAATAACTCTACTTACTCCAAAATTCCATAGTATTTCATCATATCCTTGATATGATCAGTGTATTCAATATACTGGCCCATGTTTTCTTCTTTTTCAATGGATTCCAGGATGGGAGTATTTACAAAGCCAGGGCAAATGGCATTCATTCTCACACCGCTGTTCATGAGATTAGCAGCCATCTGCCAAATGGAAGCCGAAGGTTATAGTTCTCAGCACTTTCAAAGATGGTCAGCATAGGACAAGCGATTATTAAAGCGATTTAAAAATCTCTGACATTCACAGGCTTCCAACTATATGGCAATAGTAATGCTAGGGTTAATTGGAAAGTGGAAATAAAATTATCCATACCTAAAATACCAAATTAATTCCTAAAAGCTTCACAACTATTTTTGTGTGAATTAGGTGAAGGTTTACAGAGAGGATCATCACTTTGACATTCAACGATCCAAATACATTTAGTTTCAACTCATTCCTGCAATTCCTTCATTGTATCATCCCTAATTCCACTCCCTCCCTTTGTTTCCTATTTCTTTCCATCCCTCTTTCTGAAACCTATGGACTTTTGTCTTTGGGTAATGAAAATTTTGAAAACTCATTACTATTAGGCAACTCCTGAAACACATCAATTGTTTAAGTTGTTCTCATTTTGTTTTTAGCAGCCCTGGTGGCATAGTGGTTATGTGTTGGACTGCAGTCCATATGGTCCCCAGTTCAAAACCATCAAAGACTGGGCTTTCCACTCCTGTAAACAGTTGTAGTCTAAGAAACCCACATGGAGTCACTATGAGTTAGCATGGACTCGATGGCAGTGTTTTAGTTTGAGCTTCTTGCTATCTTATTATTTAGCACAATATCAATTAATATGGAGTAGTCATATGAAGCTAAAAAAGTAAGTATCAGAATTAATATCCCAAGTTTTCTTTCAAGTCTGGGGTTATGCAACTGAGGATATTTGCTTATAGATACTGATGGTGGACATTTTTAAGATTTTGATTGGTTACAAAATGTATAACAATTAATCCTGAGCACTATACTACTGGGAATACAATTTAAGTTTCTTAATATAACTAATTTCATTTGAACTGTTTATAAAATAAATGATAATTTTCCAGTCTTGTAATTTTATTTACAAATTCCTAGCTTTTAAGGTTTACTGGATTTTGTAGTTACTTTCTGTATTTACAAAAATCGGAATCCTAAATTGTCTTTGCAAATTAAATCAGAATTTTATTTAATAGTCAATATTCACATATATCTTATCTATCACCTACTCTTTCTTCTGTTGTTAATGTTATTTTTTCACCTCTCTGGACCTCCCTTGTCTCACCTCATATAACTATCAAAGAGACCTCTGAACTGTTCTTTTTGCTTCTATACTTGCCCTCTAATATCTTTTCTAAATAGTGGCCAGAATGATGTGCTTAAAATGAAATTTGATACTGCCACCCTTGTCTTTAACCACAACAATTCACTAAAGACTGCATTTAGAATAAAATCTAAGCTTGTTAGCTTGACACATAAGCCCTTTTTGGTCTGGTTCCTCATTATAACTCCATTTGTACCCCTTGCTGATGTCCCTTTGTCCTCTAGGTTCCATTCAAACTGCTATTTGTTCAGTGACTAGAGCAAGGGTTCTCAACCTGTGAGTTGTGACCCCTTTAGGGGTTGCCCAATTCATAACAGTAACAAAATTACAGTTGTGCATTAGCAACAAAAAGAATTTTATGGTTGGGGGGTGGCCACAACATGAGGAACTGTATTAAAGGGTCAAGGTATTAGCAAGTTTGAGAGCCACTGGACTAGACGAAGGCAAATGACCGCCCCTTATTCATAAAGCCAACTAAATTTAAAGTAGTTTTTTAAGCTTTTCCACCCAGGTCTCCACAGAGACACAATTCCTGACTATTCTATGGAATAAATGCGCTCTCCTCTCCAGGCTCCATCGTCTGCTCTCATTTTCAAACGTGGCAAGTGGCATCCGGAGTACAATGCACACTCTATTTACAAGAGCCTGAAGTTACTCACTTGTAAACTTGGACACAATTCGAAAAGAAAGGGTATCTTTCTAGTAGAATATAAAAATATCTTTGGGATGCTTTTTAATTGTGCATCTACATTTAAAATATATTTCACTTTAACATGACTTTTTTCATGTATGCCATCTGAAAACTTAATATATATAGCTATAAAATAAAGATTGAGGTCTAATTTTAGTTTTCCATATTTTAACCAGATGCATTGCATTCTAAATGCGTTTCCTTCTAGTTTATATGCTTCATGATTTTGTGTATGCTCCTATGGAAAAAGAGGGTGGCAGTGGTGGGGAGACAGACGCTTACCGCGGCTGATCGTGTGAATCCAATGATTCCGTGCTTTGAAGCACAGTACACAGGCTGCTGTGCCACAGGCATGAGTCCTGAAACAAACAAGATGAAAACCTTGAAACAATTGGATTAAAAATTAAGGAGACTATACCCAGAAATGACCCTTCCAATGAGTCATGTGTGCCTGTTTCGATGTAAGGCTAACTTGGAAAATAATATAACCACTAGGCAACTAAAGTTCAAAACTTCATGATGGCTAAAGTGAACCATGGAACTCTCCGGCCTTACACAAGCTGTTCCTCCCCGGGCCTGGACTGTTATCCAGGACCTGTGCCAGGCAAGTTACCAAGAGTCAAGAGTAATATATAATTGTTTCTATCTCCCAGTGCTCTCAAAAATATAAAGAGAATCATCTTTAAATCCAAGAAATCATGACCCAACTTCAATTTCCTAGTTTGTATCTTCAGAAGTATGCATGAAGCCCCTTTTAATGCTTCAAAATGGCTGAAGACATTTAACTAGCTTGAGAGGGACTTTGAGATCAGTTTGACTTTGCTGTAAGTTAACAGGCAGTTCCCCACTATCAGGCTGGACCAAATGATGCCACAGAGGGTTAAGAAAATGAAAAAGATAACTCCTATTTGATTTAACTGTGTAGTACATGCCTGGATCTATGACGCCATTCTATGACGTAGGAAGAGAGACCAGGAATAAAATGTGGCCCTATTTTATGTAGCACAGTTTTAGAATCGCTTTAATTATCCACACATACCGAAGAGTAACACTTTAACAATACAACTGAATTAATAACCTGGAGAAAAAGTAGGAATATAATATGTACAGTAGCTCTTCTCTCCTACCACCCAGCTCAGCCCAGCATCTCACATAGAAACAAAACAACAAGAACAACATATCTTGCTGTGGTAACTATCAAACTTATTTTTCCCAGTGGCTAATTCCTCATCTAAACAATACTGAAATTCTTAATTAGAATCATTTGGATATTTCAGGTTTTTCATATACACTTAAAAATGTTTTATTTTGTTTTTTTACCTAAAGTGTTTTAACTTTTCTTTGTATTTATGACTTCTGTGAGTCAAGAACGAGTGATCCCTAATTATTATAATGTTATTAATGTCAAATGCCATGCTAATAATATTAAATTATTCTGCTATGGCATGCTCATCTCCACCCAGCTAACTATTCTCAGCATACCACTAATCAGTTGGGCAAGTTGTACCAAAGTTCAGCAATAAACGCAGACTGTAACCACTCCCTAGCTACCTGCCAGGTCTCAATTTATGAAGTATGTTTTTTCAAGAATAGTTTAAGTCCTTAGGATGGTAGGTCATATGTAGTGTGTCCACCCAGTGATTGCAAAGCACGGTAGCATGTTCTCTTTTTGTTTTGTTCTAGGTTAGGTAAAATATATAAGTTAATTAAGTTAATCAGTGTCAGTCGGCAAGAATTTATGATGCCTTCACAGTGCATCGAGTTGTTTTGGCAGCACAAGAGAAATGGGACAAGTAGGTGTAGCCAGATGTTGCTGCTTTTGATTCTTGCACATCCCCATTTTACCCACTCCGTAAATTTTTATGAGACAAGGCAGTGGCTGTAGGATGGCGTTAGCACTTCAGGAAGTGCAGGGACCCTTAACTAGGGACAAAGCTCGCTGACACAACCACAGCAAACATGCAGTCACTGCTCAACAATGTTATCAAAGTTGAACCTGGGATTAATGTTCATTACATTTGTGGGAGGTACCGAACTGCTGAGCAGAAGCTAAGAGTCAACGGAGGTGAACGGAGGAAGCCCAACCTTTCAAATTTCCTTTCAGGGTAGAATTGCAAATGCAACAAAATGTGAAAGAACTTGCCTGCATTTGAAACATGGAACTTGGTTTTATGAATTTCACAGTAACACTTGAATGGCATTTTCCCTGCTGTCCTGAAAAATGTTGACCCTTGCATTTGCTTCAGTTTATCATATTAAATAGAAGATGGTATGAATCAACTTCAGAGTCATAAATTAAGCTTCATATATTTCTTTTTTCCCGACAGCTTCATTAAGATATAACTAACAAACAATAAGCTGCATATATTTAAAGTGTATGTTGTGACATATGTTAGCATATGTCAAATAAAATAGTGACGCTACAGCCACAATGAAGAAAATGAAAATAATTTAGAAGTTCAAATTTTCCACATACTCCTCAGTAATCCCTCCCTCTCACCATTCTTCTACCTTGATCTCCAGTGATCTACTTTCTTCCCGTCATCACACATTCAGCATAGTTCCTAGACTCTTATATAAATGGAAGCATACTCTTTTTTTGCCTAGTTTCTCTTTGGATAATTAGTTTGTGATTAATCTTTATTGTGGTGTCAACATCGCACTTCTTTTTGATGAATATGATTTTACTATCTAGAACCCAAAACCCCAAACCACTGCCATTGAGTTGATTGAGACTGACCCATGGACACCCTTTTTACTAGGGCAGACAGCCTCATCTTTGTTGCCAGTTTTTGGTTAATGAAAATAAAAAATGATAGTTTTCAATTATTTTATTTAAAAAAGTAATTGTTACTTTAGGTCAACTGAGAGCTTTACTTATCTCCTTAGTGCTATGGATTTTAATTTGCTTTGTTATGGTTATATGGTTGGCATGGTTATTTGCTCTTATAAATACCACAGTCTGGGAAACCCAATGAGGAAGTTGCGTTCTGTTCTATTGGGTTACTATGGGTCGGCATTGCCTTCACAGCACACAAGGAGAGCAACAACCACCATGCTCTGGCAGTTTACCACCTGTACAACCACACACAGCGGCCCTGCTTGGGAGAGATGGATGGCTGAGCAATAGGTCCCGAGAAAGAGGAATCAACAGGTGGAGGCAGGGAGAAAACTACTAAGTGTTATATTGTAGAAATTACAGACAAAAATACATTTTTAAAATTCAGCATGATCATTGGGCCAAGTGAAGAATCAAATGTGGCCCAATCTTAATGAAATAGGCACATGCTTCCAGGTAATGCCCTTGGGAAATGATTCGTCTTTGGGCCCCACATCTTTCTCCAGCTAATGTCATGTGTTGCTGTTTTTTTTAATGACAGAGAGTACTCAAAAGGGTCATTATATTCACCGAATCTACTTTTACCACCTCCCATTTATTCTTGTACTCCCTCAATCAGATTTCATCCAGTTACCCCAGATAGACATATCGTATTCAGGTTACTAATGATCTGTATCTTGCTAAGGCTAAACACCCGTTTGTGACTTGCTTGATCACTACCTCAGCAGCAACCAACAGAGTTCATTATGCTCTCGTTGAAACACTTCCCTCTTTCGGCGGATCTTTTCTTCGATCTCCTCTCTGTTCTTTGCTGCTTCTTCCTTCTGCCCTCCAGAAATGCTGGAGGGCTTTATAGTTCTGTCCTTGGTTCTCCTTGTTTTCCTGCCCACACTCTTTCCTCGTGTGGTTTTATTGACTTCTGGGGATGGAAATTTTGTTTTTTTCTACCTCTCTTTCTATCAAACACTACCCACACCCACACAGATTAGACCCAGCATTATTCAAGTTTACTTTTAGAAAAGAAAAGTAAATCCAAGCCCCTCAGGACCAATAATGAAAGTAGCGATACCAGGAGGATAAGGGGAAGGTGTGGGGAGAAAAGGGGAACAGATCACAATGATTTAAATATAATCCCCTCCCAGGGGAATGGACAACAGAAAAGTGGGTGAAGGGAGACATCGGTCAGTGTAAGACACAAAAATAAAATAATTTATAAATTATCAAGGATTAATGAAGGAGGGTCGGGGGAGGGGGAGGGAGTTGGGGGAGCTGATACTAAGGGCTCAAGTAGAAAGAAAATGTTTTGAGAATGCTGATGGCAACATATGTACAAATGTGCTTGACACAATGGATGTATGCATGGATTGTGGTAAGAGCTGTATAAGCCCCCAATAAATTGATTTAAAAAGAAAAAAAAAGAAATGAAAAGTAGCTTTCCCCCAAATACACAAAATCTTATTAATAGCATGTTCATGTTAGCATACTGTGAATTTAGAAAAACAAAATCAGATTAAGGAGACTATGTACTTACAAAATGGGGAAAAATAGTCAGAACTGTTCAAGATAATAAGGTGACATGAATACCAATTGATAATTATAAAGAAGCATTTGAAATACTTGAAAATATATTAAGTTATCAAATAATAAAGCCATTTAGAAAAATAAATTTCAATCTACTTTAGCAAGTTAGTTCTTCATCACTTAATATCTTTTCTAACCTTGCTTATAAGAGTGAACTTTAATCTCTACATAAATACCCAACAAGATTTTACTTAAATACTGGAACTCACTGAGTCATGAAAATTATTCAGAATCCTCTCATATATATTGACTTTAAACTTGCATAAAAACCAAAGCCATTTCCAGAGATTCGATTCTGATTCATAGTGTGATCCTATGGGACACAGTGAAAGGACTCTATAGGGTTTCTGAGGTTGTAAACGTTTACAGAGACAGACTGCCTCATCCTTCTCTCATGGTATAGCTGGTGGGTTAGAACTTCTGACCTTTCAGTTAACAGCCCAACACTAACCTACTATACCCCCAGTGCTCCTTCAAAAGGGATATAAACTGCACGAAGCGAACCATAGAAATGTACTATGGAAATTCAACGTAGGCACATAAATGGAGTGTTTAAAGATGCTGATCCTTGCATGATAACCTTAGCTTAGTTGTGCTGCTAAACTTCAGGAAGCTGGATTTCTCTAATTTTCCTTATAACCCCAAACAAAAATGTCTGCCCATAATTCTGCATTTAACCATAACTTCTCTAATATGAGGGGGAAAGGAGAACTTAGGAAGATATATTTATCTATGTGCATTTGGAAAGCTGACCAAAAGAGCTGGTGAACTTCCTCCTTGTGATTTTTCACATAATGGAACAGTATCTCATGCTGATTTGTTCCTTCTTCTCATCAGTGGCATTCACAAGCCATGTGTTAGAGCATAACACAGAGTTGACACGGTTTCATTAGACGGTTAACATTTTCTGCAATAAAACATTTTCCAGCAAGAAAATCC